GTAAATGTTGAAGAACAAGAAATATAACTGACCTGTTATAAACAAATATCTCATGTCAATCAAAAATTTCAGTTTGTCATAATAATGTATTGTATGTGTGCTATTAAACGAAAATGATTTGAACATACACATAATGTGATATCAAATTTTAAATGATAAATATTTGGAGCTCATTTCCCAAAAATATCAAAATAATTTTGTTATTTTGTTTTGTTAATTTTTTTTCATAATAATGTTATTTCTAAAAAATTAAGGGAAAACCTACCAAAGAATGACTAGTTTAAAAATCAGCCTAAATTTGATTCCCTCTAAACAAAGGGCTAGCACTTGAAATATCAGCTGTTAGACTCTTTATAGTGGCCAATTCCCACTATCAACTCATACTCCTCCACCAACACATCACCAGAGTTCCTTTAGCTGGCTATGAACCAGCCCTTCAATTCTAGCTGTACAAAAGTTTCAAACAAGTATTTGTAAGTTTCCCAAAATAATTTTTTGTTAATGACTAATCAAAACTATATTGATTCAACCTACCTTTTCATAGTCAGATTCTATCACCCAGTTACAGCTTCCCAAGCAATATCCAGAACTTAGGGGTGTGAGCTTCAGAATGCCAAACAGATCCTACATGAATGATCGGAAAGGATTGGTGTTTGTGTTGGCATTCAAGTTTGTTCTTGGTTTAAAACAGTTCAAACCAGTTTGATTTAGACATTCCTTTGTAAGTTGCAAATTCGTAATAATCAAAGGACACAAAGAAAAGAGAAACCAAAAGCTCTTTTAGATAAAACAAAATGAGAGAAAATTGTAAGCACAGCAGCATTTGGGCTTTCAGGATCTTACCCTACTATCTCAGAATAGAAGTAACAAAGAGTTAAAGTGCACCTAAACCCAAATATTTTTTTCGCTTAACAAAATAAGTGTATTTTTTTTAGTATTTCTGTGCAAAAATTTTTTTATTTGCTCAAATCTTCAATTTTCTTTGCCCAGTCAAAATACGGAAAATCGGCCGCCATCTTGCCCCATGACCGAGTTTAAAGAGGAATGGCTCTAGAGGGTAATGTGACGTCAAATCGAGAACATGAAAGTCTGCCTTTCACACATTTTCACTTGTTTGGGAAGGTTGTAGTCGATATTGTCCGAGAATATGCCAACCAAGTATGTTATAGGAGGATGTAGCAACGTGAAAAATTTGCAAGAGGATGTTGCGCTTCATACATTCCTCATACAACACAACACACCTGGTCGGCATATTTCAGAAAATATCGATGACAACCCTCTCAAACAAGTGAAAATGTGTGAAATGCAGACTTTCGTGCTCTCGATTTGACGTCACATTGCCCGTTAGAACCATTCCTCTTTAAACTCGGTCGTGGGGCAAGATGGTGGCCGATTTTCCATATTTTGACTGGGCACGTAAAATTAAAGATTTGAGCAAATAAAAAAATTTTTACACAGAAATACTCCCAAAAACAAGCTTATTTCGTTAAGCGAAAAAAAAATGTTTGGGTTTAGCTGCACTTTAAAAAATTAATGTGAAATACAGTATTTTTCCGTGTTGTCTAACAATACTTACAATTCTCTCTGAATATCCAACATTTTGAATCTTTGAAATTGAAGCCTTCACATCTTTTTTGCTGAAAAAGCAGAATGTACCAGTGAAGAGAAACCATTTTACAGGAGGAAATGCTTATTTCTTAAGTCATAAATGACTTAATGCAAATAATTGTTTCATATTTATTCAGACAGAACTCTCTGTATCCTACAGAATTTCTTGGCTTGGATTGGAAACTGTTCTGAAATAGTTATTTCTTTGAGGAGCATGCAAAGAACTTCATATTTGGTTCAAAAACCTATTCATGGAACAAACTTAATTTCATCCTTTTGCAAAATTAAGCGTATATAACAAGAACTTTATGGTTTCCAATGCTTTTGAGGCTCTTATTAATCTACACGACCCTTCTACCACCAGTAAATTGTATCTGTAAAGATCAAAAACATTTAAAACTGAATAAATTTAATTTTTTTCAGATCAGAGTACAATACAATAAAACAGATTAAAGTTATCATCTTGAAAATCATTTATAATTAAATCACCCTTGAGCAACTACAATGATAGCAATTTCAAGATTCACCTGTAGACTACTTTCCATGACTTTGTACCTTTTAAGTCACACAAAGGATGAGGTAGACATCTAGAACAAAAAAAAATTAGAGGCACTGCTAAGTCACTGGCCCCAAAAGTATTCTGACCTGATGTTTTCCCCTTACTCAATCAATGTTGCTTGAATCATTTGGAAAATTAAATATAAAACACTCAACAAAAATATGCAACATTTGTGAACATATGAAAATCAAATAATAAATTAGGGGTCAAAATGGAAAAACCGAAAACCGCATCAGAGTTTTCGTGAAAACCTAAAACCCAACGTAAAAAAAGTAAAATCTGCAAACCGCTCTGAACATCAAAACTGAAAAACCGAACCTTTTTGGCCCAAAAACCTATCCAAAAAACAGTCAAAACCGCAAAACCAAAAATTCCAAAGCCCCCTTCCTTAAGTGGTGTTCATTACTGCAAAGATTGCTCGAGATCATATTCACAACATATGCAACATTGACTGAGGAGGAAGGGGAGCGGAACCAACCTTAAAACTTCACTGTCCTTCCACATATTTCCTTTGCTCACTTTTGGTACTCGTTCTGCGTACACCACCATCTCTAACATCAGTTCTCTGAAGACAAAATTCATCGACAAAATAACATGCTTGATCAAGTTTAACTTCAATTCTCATGATTAAGAACATGAGCAAGAAACAAGGTCTCAGACTTTTACGGGACACTTAATATATATCACTGGTCTTGACACTACATAGATTAATAAAATTCTCACCTTCCAATCTGAACTGTTGGTTCGGTAGCATAGATCTTTCCTTTGAAACCTGAATGCTAAGAAGAAGAGAGAGAAAAGTCAAAACATCCTTAATATTCTATACATCTAGGTCAGGTTGGTAAAATCTGGGTTAAGGATTAGTGTGAAATTTGATTTCAGATCTGAAAGCTTTACAAGAAAATTCGGTTGAATTCTTTTTACAAGTACACAATTTGAAGATTGAATGCTCTAAAGAGAATTGGGAAATTCATTCCACATGGCTTTTGAAGAGAGAAATAATTATATATTGTAGTTCAATTTTATCCTCTAGTTTAATTTTTTCCAAACCAGTTTAATTCTTTTTGAACCAGTTTAAGTTTTTTTGAACCAGTTTAATTTTTTTTGAACCAGTTTAATTTTTTTAACCAGTTTAATTTTAGTGATTAGGGTTACGCACTCCTTTTACTGATTAGGGTTAGGGTTAGGGTTTGGTATGGTACCTGATGCTTTTCATGAAAAAAATAAGATTTTCCTAGTTGCCCAAGAGAAAAAATTAGGGGCCAGGAACCATTGTGTGCTGCTAGAGCATAGCCCTGTTAAGGTCACACCAATTAAAAGAAATGATCACCAACTAAAGAAGCTCTTGATTGTTTAAAAAATCTTCTTGTGAGCACTTAAGGAAATGTATAGAGAATAGTATGGAGAATATGCATACTGATGCTAGGGTGTGAAGGGTCAATCAAAGCTTACCTCAGTTATGAAAGGCAATGCTAACATGAAATGGTAATTAGATATAACAATGATGTCAATTGTGGAAAAATCCAGCAGACAATCCTGTGAAAGTAAAAGTGAAAGTTTATTAACAAAATGTCATATCCTTACAATACCAATTGACAGATGAAAGTTAACAAATGCTGTGAAGCTTTGAGATACTTGTAATCTTTACTCCTGTAATCTCCAAAATGTGTTACTTGCTTTAACCCATTAATAGACGCAGCTTTTGTGGAAAACTGTGTTTTGAAGTAAGTCGAGCAGATTTCGGGTCACTGTTGTGGTTTTAAAAGTTCAAACTTACCACAAACCCATTGACAGCTTGAACACTCGACAGCCTTTCGATCCAAATGCAAAATGGCAGCCTGAAATCTCAGGCACGCGCAGAAAGCAAAATTTCGAGATAGTTTTTAGGTTGAAAAGTAATGCCCCACTTACGACTTTTACTTTTCTCTCTTTCTCCTGCCCTTTTTTTCCCCTTTCCTTGCCTAAAGTTTCTCCTCACTTGCTGGAAATTTAGTAGGCTTCATTTTGGTGTAGAGATTTTTTAGGAAACTACTCATTATTTTCAAACCACATGCTCAGAAAGGTAGGTGGGTAATGGAACAAGATTTTCGTGCAGATTTTCAGGTCAAAGTTACATGGTTTTTTGGCTATTTCTCCAATCTCCTTCACTCAATTGCGCTCATTCTGGTATCGTTTGTAAGATATTTTCAACCTGTTCAAGTACGTGCTCAAAGTCGTGCTCCAGGGTTAAAAGTGATGACGTCACAAGGCGTAGAAAGGGTGTGGGTCCACATGGGCGCTTACGGGTGTACTGCACGTCAATAGGTTAAAGATCAAAAGCTTCTTTGGCAAGATTTTCATATAACCCCATACTTCATTATGCACACAATTCTTGGA